CAATAGACAGGATAAATAAAGAATAATCCTATAAAAGGAACATTTGTAATTGTAGATTTAAACGTCTCGTGGCCAACAATTCCATTGCTACGGAATTGAAATCCTACGCGTAGCATTGCTGCTTAGGAGAGTACCGGATAGCCGTCGAGCGCGGAGGAAATAGTGATTACAATGCTTTCCTGAGCTCCACGAACGGCGTGAATGGCTTTGAGACATTAACCTCCAGTCATTTCAAGCGTTGAGCAACGATTCTGCGGTTTATACTTGATTTGCCGGGACGCAACAGCTGACGAGACAAACAGAAGATTGCCCGTATAATTTCTTTTCAAAAAAACAATTCTTGCATTTTTTGTCATGTATTAACGAACAACAGACAATCGATTCTATTCAATTTAATCCAAGTTCGATTATACACATTATACTACTTTATACATAGTTTCCACTTAGGTCTTAGGTGGTTAAGTACTAATATTCTATGAATAACGAACGAACGGATCGATCGATCGCGGCCAATGACGCGCGTAAGGTCGCGATTTACCCGGCGCAATCGTTTGAAAGTACAAGTTCCTGTTGATTTTTATCGCAAACTCGTGTGCACGTATGCTTGTACTATTCCGTGCCAGTTGTTCCTGGTTGAAAATCTGGGTAACTGGCATAAGGACGGTCAATCGTGATCGGTGACATGCGATTTATGGTTCCGTCTCGCTTCCCTTTATCAGCCGCCTATATCGTAAACATATTCACGATATTCCTGTCTACACAGGCCATAGAGCGTGAAAGTGCGCACGTTAAATTGTATGAGAACGGTTTACATTTATTTCTTAGCCGCTCGCTTTAGAAGCTTCCTGTTACACCTGCAAAATCTATCAATTGTTCAACGCAGTGTCTATGTCTACGGCGATCATCATTGACTCACGATCAAGTAAGCTACTTACTGTTAGTAAGATAAGAATTGATAAGCGTTCTTTGTCATGTCCAGATTTTTTTCTGTGACGTATTCGAAGTATAAATTGAAGATTAAGCTATTCATGAGGTTTTGTGTGAATAATTTTTTAACAGTCAGCAAGTGTGATTAATGGGAATTTATAAGCAACCCGTATCATATTTAATTTTATACAAATGTGTATTATATTACTTAACTAATTTTAATTGTTCATCAAAAGAAAGCGTGTCACTGTAAGCTTTTTAATATTATTTCAAATTAATAAAAATGGAATCCAATATCGTAGATTAGATCTGAAAAGACTGAAATTAACGAGACAACAGTTCCTCATTCGCTGATCTCAGCTAACTCGACACGATTTTGCGTATGTACCGCTGACTCATTGTTCTGCTACAATCATTTTTCTGTTACTTGTATGCGTACAGATAATCGCGAGTACGAGACCACGGGCACAATTTTATACATGAACGAGCACCGTAGACGAAATCGTTGCCTCGCCGTGAACGTATCCTGTCTATTGAGCAAGGCGGACGGGAGATAATTTCTATTATGACGCGCGTGCTCCCCTAATCGAGCAGAACCGCGACGGAGAAAGTCAATGAAGTCAATGAAAGTACTTCGTGATAATTGATTACGAAACTGCCATCGTTCAAATGAGTCTAATTGTCGTTACTTAAATTTGATGTCGTGAAATTCTTATTCGTCATGTTAATTTCCTTTCAATGTAAATCCATACACATACATCTTGTTTCGTTCCCAAGTGTTCATATTTACCAGAAAATCCGATAAATATTACGAATTAATGACTATTATAAATTATAGTCGAAGAATTATAATAAGTCGTATATTATATTCATTTAATAAATCATATAATAAATGAAATTGTAGACTATGCTAAAGGACTGCTTAACATTGTAATAACATATCATTCTACAATTCTAACAAGAATGTATATTAAATAAATACAGAAGAGATATAATCATTTATGCAAGTATCTTTGCTGTTAACCCTGACCTACCTATAAAACTGGAACACAAAATGTCCTTGAAGGATTTCGAAAATTACAACCTTTGTTCTGAAATTCCTTCGCACGTTGAGCAACTTTCGATCGACAGTCTTCATAAATATTTGCAGCGAATTTGAATGACAATCACAAATGCAAAAGTATTATACAGTAACCGTATGTCATTTTGGCTGAAAACGCAGCACGGTTGCAAAACAATCCAGTTAAGTTCTCTCTATACAGGAAACTATCAATCAGTGGATTAAAGCACGAATAAAAAAAATCTTTGTTTTAGCACGTGTTAAACACGTGTGCTTAAAATCGATTCGAAGTACTCCTCTGTTAGTAGACATTCATAGATTGGAGTTATTAATGATTCATTTCCAGAATCGCATACATTCTTGTCGGATGTGATTAGTGGAGCAATTAATCACTAGGCGATATATCATTCAGGAACAAAAATACGTGCATATTGGCCCTACCATATAATCGAATGACCTTTGTTAACGAGGTATAAAAATTGCATGTAAAATTATACTACATATTTATATGTATAAAAATTGTGTGTAGTAATAATTTATATAAATTGTATATGAAAATGCATACTTCATAAAAATTGTGTACACCTCTATTTTTAAACAAAATTATACATATATATAAAAGTTCTATATCCAAAAGATCTGTAAAAGAATTGCATATCTACGTATCTATCATCGAGACAAGCTTATGCACTTTTTGCGTTCACAGCAACGATGTTCTACTATTGCACGAAGAAGCTCGATTAACTGTATACGTAGAATGACTGTCGGTCCCCTAAGTACAACGAGTCCAAGGCTGAGTTACCGCAATCCGGCTTTAAGTAGACACAATCGTCTTTAGACTAGTAATTATTGCTGGATATTTTGTGGTTTGCCTCCACGAGTTAGCATGGCCAAATTCATTGCATGTTTTGTTAATGATAAGCATAAAATTAATGTTTTGCAAGGTATTCTAAATATTGAACAAACCATTACGAAAATGTCATATTATTTTTTAAATTTATCCTACGTGAAGCAACATCGATCGACATTTTGTTTAAACTCTCAACTATAATTATTACACTGATTTTTATTTAAAATAAAACATTTAGAATGTCAATTTAAAAAATAAAATCCGGATAAGTATTTCTTTTGTAATTGGAAAATAATAATATGCGTTTGATTTTTTATTTTCTGTATTCTTGGGAATTTGTATGAATTTTTTAATATTTCCTGTAGATATAATTTTTGTATTCATTCATGTAACAATATATATTACAATTAAAATTTAATGTTACAGTGAATTGTTTTGTTTTATTGGAGAAAAGATCCGTAAGACACTTGGTGAAGTAGACCTCCGTTCAGGAAGCGAATTTACCTTCGAAATGGACACGCACGTGGGGCTACCGTTCGAACATTGCATATCGACTTACCCAACGTGTTACTTAACCTCTCTCTGAACTAAATGTCGGTTACGTTGACCAGTTCCGTCGAAACACTATCCGAATTTATATATTCACGGCGATCAAATAGACCAAAGGACGAATTGGTCGTCGCGTCGCGAAAATTTGCACCGAACGCGTGCTACCAGCATAAACTGAGAAAAATACTTAAACCGTCTTAATAAGTCTTCGAAAATTGATAACAATTTGAAAAATGAGCTGCTATAAAGTGCTGCAGCTTATCTCGAAAATTCACATTACTGAAAATAACAATACACTAATGATGCAATTAGTTAAAATTCATGTAAATAAGATGAAGCGAATACAATCACACCTGTTTCAATATCTTCGTTTCTCATTCCCAAAATAAGTTTCTTCAATTATCAAAATACAGTGAATAGAATAATCTGAATGATGTATGCGTTCACGTTTTCGTCTGCCCGAGGGATACGGAAAAGCAACGTCATAAATTTTATTTATCTTGGCCATTCACAAAATTACACGTCAAACCGTCAAACGGAGAAAAATATAGTTTTGAATAACGCGTTCGAAAGTATGCATGCTTTTATATCCGTTGGTTTTCACGGACAGCACGTTTGATATTAAAGTATTTCTCTTCGTCCCCCATTTGAATGGGATACGCGAGTTCCATTGGATATTCGTTAAAGGGCAAAGCCACTATGAATCTACCTCGGGGCCCGACTGTACTTTGACGTCAAATCGTTTGATACTCGAATGAAAGAATAACGTCTCACAATCGACTTCAAAGTTTGACATACTTTCTCATTTGATCACAAAGCAATGGAGATGCATATCTAAGACGATTCCTATTATTTTATAGATTAATTTCTCCATATTCTTCGAACTGATTACTTTGCAGCATCTATTATCCTACATCCTATAGAGAATGAGAAAAAGTACTCTCGAGTTCTCATCTACAACGGCGCAAATTAGATCGGTTATCGGACAATCAAATTGCTTACATTACGGTAACAATCTCTTGTGAAGCAAGAAATAATTAAACTATCCTCAAAAGAAAGGCACCATAACTTGTGCAATTGTTACGCAAAAGTATCACAATTATGCCGGTTCGATATGCACGAAGCGTTACAATCAAAATCAGATCTATCTGTATTGTCTCGAATCGATTGTTTCGCAGCCGACTGCCGCCAAAATACTGACGTCAAGCCGATGAGACAACGAGACACTTGGACCGGCTTAAGAATAGAGATCATTAAAATTCTCACCTGAACGATTCAAGGATTCTCCATCCCCAGTTCTCGTTTTTACAATGCGGACCCACTGATAAAACGCGCAGGCATCTCAGAGAGTCGGTAATTTTCAGTAAAATCACCACTATTCCTGTTCCTGCTCGAATACACCCGGCTCGCGCTTTGAGCTAGCTTCGTCTCGCATCGGGCGACAAACATCCGCTTGGCTTCGCCGCGACCGTGTACCACATGAACGATCTCCAACCTGTCCATTCAATGTCACACAGTCTCCACTCGGCCAATTTCCTGTTACTTCCTCCGAAGCCTACATCCAATCCGTCACAGGCACATGTCGCCGAGATCCGCGTCTTAATTCTTTTCCTTCCTCTTATTTCGCGGAGCCCATCGATTAGCTGGAGACAATCGATCGATAAGAGACTCGAAGAGATCGCCGGAGCCTCTCTTTCTGACCGCGACTCGCACGTGTGCCGTGTTATTCACGCGTTCTCCACGCTCGGGTGGGGATTCACCGCCGGCCCGAGGGTCGATCGATCGATCACGATCGACGCCACACCGCACGTTCAACGATCGCGACGGGCCACGATCTCACCGTGAGCACCGAGTCTCCGCGACTGCCGCCGCTATTTCGTTCGTATCTACTCGCGGCCGATCGCTGGTGAATGCGCGCGCTCTTTCTCGTGCGCGTGTGTGCGCGTCTACAGAAGCTGAGGAGATATACCAGGAGGGAGAGACTTATATTCATCAATTTCTTACTTTATAGAATTTTCCCAGATCTGTTCCATAACCATGTAACAGATGATATCTATTGTGTTTATTTATTTAGATTTTATTGCTACAGAATGAAGCTGTATTTCCACGAAAAATTGTCAATTTGATGTTTCATGCTTTTAATGGATTTAATAGATACGTTTATACAAAATACAGCATCAATCAATAGGAACTATTACCTAAGCTATACATAAGAAGCAACTAATTTCATATGACTATTCTTATTTTTCTCTATCCTGTTTAAAGCAAACTACTGTGTTTTTTTTACTTCCGCGTACATGATAAACGCGTAAAAGGCGCTAATAATATAATCGAACGTTCACGGATACAGTACTTCCTGCATCGGAGGGGTTTAGTGAACGGGCAGTGGACTGGAAGGACGACTCTAAAACCTCGCAGTGGGTGGTAAACGAGAGATAAGGAGTATTTTTTTGTTTCATTTACGACAGGACCGATCCTTGGTTATAGATTGTGCGAGTCCTTAGCTGACGCGGACACACCTATTCTGTGTTCCTGATGCAAGCTGGTGCAACCACCGCAGGAGGGATAAACGGGTTTCGGTGGCGAAGAATCGAAGATCGTGGCCGATTTATGGTTGAGCCGGGGAAAAAGAAGCGCGGTTCCGGATCACTGTGGCGTCTGTTCAAGAGGGAAGGAAGAACGAGATGGATAAATCCAGAGATGAGGAAAATATAAACATATATGCGAATATAAATATCGTGGATTCAGGTGTTCCACGGTATGATGGATGTAATTGTAAATGCGATAAGATTCAATTCAATATACATCTTTGTCAAATATAAAAATAAGTGTAATTGTCTGTGCCATTCTTATTGTTTGATTAAACGAACAGTTCTCGTATTTTCTTTTATAACAAAGAAACACATGACGCATTTTAAAATCAAAGATGTAGGATTCAGTCATGTATAATAATAATTTCAGATCAATATCTTATTGAAATGTATCTACGTACTTTAATAAAATATATTCATAATCAGTAAAGAAATCACAGTTAAAAAAAAATGATTTTCCTTTTCATACTGTTGTTATAATTTTGTATCACCCAGAAAGAACAGGTTCTTCTTCCGTTGATATTGTAGGGAACACTAAGAGTACATCACGTAACCAAATAAAGTCTGTGCGTGCTCGAATCCAACTCATGTATTTTACATAAAACGTTCAGCAATGTTCACACGAAGTATTAAATTACTCGTGAATCCCAGTAATTGTATTATATTTATTTATTATTAAAATATATTAATTATTAAAATTTTCATGAACTTGTGTACATCGATTGAGCGAGAAACATGAAATATGTATAAATAAAGGAAAACGTTCGAACGCAAACTGCAGAGCATCGATGTTAAAGGAGTGTCACGGTGCGATCGAGGTGACACAAAAACGAGGTAAATATGCACACGATAAAACAAGGTGTAAGTGTGGTAATCGGTTCACTTTTGAAACTTCATCGACTCTGTCGTAAGAAATTGTAAATGTACAGTACATATTTCGTAATCGGTTGATCTGATTCGCTTTATTACGCGGGAGCTTCCGTTTTAACGATCGCTCCTCTTCCTGTGGCTTTCTTCGACAACAATGAAGTCTGATTCGCGGCACCTTCCAACTCCTGTATCCGTTCCCACGTTCATTCCTTCTAAACGGTATCATCTTTTCGATTGTTATAATACTTCAGTCGTCCGCTTCTCTGTTAACTCGCTACTTGTTTTAGAGATTTTCTTTAGAGAGGGTATTACTCCCACTTTTGTTGTTTGTCGAAGCTGTTAGCCGACGATAATTGCAGTAATTGCCAACGTGCAAGTGTGTTAAGTTAATATTTGAGGATTGATCAGCATTTCTGATTGATTTGGTCAATATAACTGCTTTTGATTATGTGAAGCTTCAACACAACAGTTTTACTTCTTTCGGTAATTCTAGTGTTAATTATAATTCATACTTTGTCGCTGGGGAAGATTCATGTGCATAAGAAGTGATGGTCGTCTTTTAGTGTTTGACAAATCGAAGAAATTAAAATTCCAATTATTTATCAAATACGATTACGTGAGAATGCTTTCACACTAGGTCAGAAAGAGTCGACTAAAGCTTTACGTGCTGTTTTGAGAAGATTCTCGTCACCAATTCCTTTCACTAACAATCCGCACACTTATGTAAGATATTTAACGTTCTCAAATCTCAATTTGTATTAAATATATAAATCTAATTAATGAATGAAAAATTATTTTAACGACCAGTTTATCGCCAATTCAGTCTAATAGATAAACTATAATTTTGCAATAGTAGTTCCTGTGTTACATAATTAAAAATACTGATAGTACCGAGAAATATTGTTACATAAAAAAACCGCAATGTTCGACAAGATTGATCAATCTAGTCACGCGTAGGCACACGTACTTATCTCATGTTCCAAGAAGACTATCGCGACCTTGATGAATATTAAACGTGCTCATCCGACATAGCCTCGTGTCTCCGGTGCGAATCTTCCGGTAGTTGGCCGTGGCTTCCACGATGATTGTCTCGTAATAAAGCGAGCGAAAAAAGCCGGCACAGTTTGGTTGTGTAAAATATCATCGGATTTCGTAATCGTCAGCATTTCGAGCGTGAAAGTTCCGATACCGCGACCGGCCGGAAAAGAAATGACTATGGCACAGGCGTGGGTATATACCGTGCGAATCGAGTCTGTGCCGTGGTTCGATGCAAAAGAACGCGTTTAATCGGGGTTAAGTAACACTCGTTACGTAGTTTTCCGGTTCCTTTTCTTTATCCTTTTTTCGTCTCAATCATGTCCTTCGTTCTTACGTCGAAGGAGTATTGTAACGTACTGTGGTTTATCGAGTTGGAAGACGTTCCATTGCTCTGTATTCGATTCTTATTCATCATGAATATAAAATTATGAACGAATTATAATATTTGATGTAAAAAACTGTTTAATTAAGCATTAAATGAAATTGCATCAATGTTTCAAGTTGCATCTGTATTTCTTCTTGCACCCTTTCGTCATCTGAATGCTGACAGTTATGCAGATGAGTGCATTAATTAGTGATTGCAATACATAAGTAAAGGCTTTAAGAAAATATTTATAAACTGTTTAAAATGAAATGGGTAAACGTATAAAATTGTACAGTCCTTGTAAAAAGATTTTTATTTGCACAATGGTGCTCCGTCTCGGCATTAAATTGAAAGTTAAGGATTCAGAATGAATGCTTTTCTTCTCTGATTGCGAATGTACATGATTTCATTTGCCTGCATTTATTATGTGAAGATTGAAAACTTGCGAGATTCAGGTCAAAAGATTATTACATGAAAATCGGTGGAAGCATAAGAATATTAGACACATCGAAACATGTAAAAATTCTTTAATTTATCTCAGTTTTAGACCAAAAGTCATGAGAATTGCGATTTTTAAATTACTAATCGTTTGTAACTCAGAACGACATTAATTTTGATGAAACTTCGTACATGTATATAATATTTTTGCTAATTACATAGTAAACGACGCCTTATAATATCCCACAATAAATTATGTTGTTTTGATTCAATATTAAAAAATTATTCCATTTTAAGAAGTATGACTTTTTTGAGTCACTGAACGAATATTATTGGAAGTACCTTTTAATAAAGAAAACGTTTCTCATGTAAGGGATTCCTCAAATTAGAATTAGCATTTATGCTTCCATGTCCTAAAAATTTAAAAATTCCCTCAATTATTGAATTAGGAGCTTAAGTAATTAGAAAAACTATTCAACAAGAAAATGCACTTGTACTAAAAATTAGATGAAGGCTGTCTTGCGTAAATCAAATATTTGATTTGACTATTTCTTCCCTGTATAAAAATAAGAAAAGTTGCATTACCAAATTAGCATATGTACGCGAATCAGGAGAAAAGTCCGACTCAGCGAGGAATGTTTACAAAGTTAGAAACCTGGCTACGGCATTAGAAATCTTCTCCGGGTGAAGCGAGATCTTTCACATTTCATGTTGAATTTCAAGGAATAACCGCGAATTACCTTTTACCATGAAGTTTTGTCTATAGCGTCGCAAAGTTCACTCACCTAATCGCTGGCAACCAGACCGGCTGCTAGCTCGTGGAGTTTAGCTGGCCGGTGGAAGAGAAATGACCAGCCGGTGAAACGAGGCAAGGGTGAAGGTCGCATTAGTCACGAATACCGTGTCTCGACGCACCATCGCAGGTATTCACTAACATGTTTCGACCTTTAGGCTGTGAGCTAAGCTATACATTCTTCCATAGAAAAAGAAATTCTGTTATCAGAATATTTTTGTTATCTCTAGTAATCGACACGTTACGTTCTCCCAATTTCGTGAAAGTGAAACCCTTTGCCGCGGAACTGAAATAGAATTAACATGCCACATTGAACGTTGTAATATTTTGATAGAGTATGACCAGATACGTGCAATTTAGGTATTTATTAAATCTTGCAGATTATGCACCAGGACTTTATGGCTTTAAATATAACGCTTAAGAAATTTAGACATTATGAAGAAACAATGCACTGAAATAGAAAATGTATTACGAAATAAATATTAATGTACTGTACAATATATGATACAAATTTTATAAAACCTCATTACTTTATTAATTTAAGCGTGTTTGAGTATTACTTGGAATTCTATTCCCTTGAACTAGAGCCTGCTGGAGTATCAGCAGAATCCCAGAAAACCGGTTGCGCGAACATCGGTACATAAGACTGCATTCACGGCCTTGGGATCGAACCTTATCACGAATACATTCCCCTAACGTCTCAGGACGTTCAAGGAGGCACAATTATACGGACGATAGTCCTCGAAGGACTTTCGCAATGAA